CACCATAGCGCCAAACCTTGTAGTTGGAGCATGTGCCGTCCGGCTCGAGACGAAGGAGTGGGATCGGGTTGGCGAGTGAAGCGGTTGAGTAAGCCATTGCCACTTGATTTTCGCGAAGCGACGCTCTTAAGTCCCCGATAGGAACTTCGGTGCGCAGCGCGGCAATTCTGGAAATTGGTCGACGAGAACTGCTGAAAATCACTCCGGCGGCTTCGCCGAAATGCCGCTGAGAAGGAAATGGCGTTGGCGGAAATTCGTTAAAACGCCGACTTGAAACTAAATCTGAGACTATGTTTAACCCCGGACCCACACACCCCCCCACACACCCCCAGGCCTTGTCCCGCAGCTACACAGCTCCGCAACCAGCTCCGCAACCAGCTCCGCAACCAGCTCCGCAACCAGCTCCGCAATCAGCTCCACTCCGCTTCCACCTGTGTACCTGCTCTTGCTTGACGCGAGACGTTCGCGGAGGCGATTCTGCGAGGGGAGTTTGCCTATTCTGGCGGGGTCCGAGGGGAAACTCGAAAACGAGTTTTAAGAGATGGTCGAAATTGAGATTCGACCAAGGAGAACCAAAGAGGAAATCGATGATGGGAAGGCGGTCGACGATGAGAGGCGCGACTGCGGAGTGGAGCACGTTGAAAATTCCAACGACTCGAGATGAATGTCGCGACGATAAAGTGAACGTAGCACGGGCACTTTAAGACTAGGACCTTGATTCGCGTGTGCGGATATGTCGCTCTGATACCATATAAGAAATAGAGCTGAAATCATTAATTAGGTAAGGAGCCCAAGGCTCTATAAGTACATGGCAAGGTGAGAGAGAATGGATGAAGGGGGATTCGGAGGGAATCCCCATTGTGATCTCCAGAATCTCCAATTGGGTAATTGGATATTGGGGAGATCACAATTGGGTGAGGTTGGGATTTGTGAGTACACCCCAACCCACTAGAACATTCCTAACCTAAACTACGATATACAAGTACAAATATAAAAGTGGGATTTGCAATCTATTTCTAACAGGAGAAAGTAGAGAGAGAAAAGGGGTGGAGTAGAGAAGAGAGAGAGGTACAAGAAAAATGTTGTCCCCTCTACAATAAAACCGATAGAACACCTACCTAGTCTACACACACATACACATACACACACACATACACATATACACACACACACAGATGCACACACACACGCACACACCCACCCACACACACACGCTCACACACGCACGCATACACACACACATACATACACACATATGCACACGCATACACGTACACACACACACACACAAACACACACAGACACGCATACACACACACACACACACACACACTTATATATATTATTGACAATTTAGCATTTCGCCTGTCGAAATGCGCAGATCTCACATTGGGGCGGACAAAAGGTACGGCTGTGGATGATGATTAGGCTGTCTTACAATCAATATGAATAAAAATTTAGACATGTTCTAGCTAAAAAACGGCATTATCTCCCAAAATCCACGAAACAACGGTCGAATAATAGGTACTGTATTTTTTTAAAACCGCATTTTTTAACCTTCCGTGTATCGTCCTTGTTGCATCCATCATTTCCTCTTGTGCGATTCCTCGTACGTGTTGGCACGCTGTTGGCGCACTCTGTTGCAATTTGTCAGGTGCTCATGTTTCGCTTTGGTGTGCGTATATCGGGGTAGGGTGTCAAATTATATACTTAAATAATTATTTTTTTACGCTTAGTAGGTGTGCTACCTTAGTGAATCCTATTGTAGAGGGTACAACTCCCTCCTTGTATCCCTCTCTCTTCTAATCTCACTCTCTTCTCTCTCGACATTTTCTCCTAGTCTAAAACCTCTCGCTGCTTTCCTTTGCCTAGTTCTTAACCTAGTTTCTCGACACAGGGTGCATATATGCCAAGTGCTACACGCAGCTCGAGATTGTCGCTTTCAATTTGGCAGCTTTGCTCCCAAAGTGTACATGTCAATCTTGGTTGCATCATGGAAGCATTCGTGTATCCTATTTGTTGCATGCGTGATTTTCTCTTCTGCGATTCCTCATGTGTGTTGGCACCCCGTTGGCACACTATGTTGCAATTTGTGGGGTGCACATGTGTCGTTTTGGTGTGCGTGCATCAGAGCAGTGTGCATATATGCCAACTGCTACACACAACTCGAGATTGTCGTTGTCAATTTGACAGCTTTGCTCCCAAAGTGTACATGTCAATCTCGGCTACAGCATGGAAGCATTCTTGTATCCTCCTTGTTGCATGCATCACTGCCTCTTGTGCGATTCCTTGTGTGTGTTGGCACTTTGTTGCAATTTTTCATGTGTACATTTGCCGTTTTGGTGTGCGTGCATCAGTGCGGGGTGCATATATGCCAAGTGCTATACGCAGCTCGAGATTGTCGTTGTCAATTTGGCAGCTTTGCTTCCAAAGTGTACATGTCAATCTCGGTTGCAGTATGGAAGCATTCGTGCATCCTCCTTGTTGCACGCATCACTTCATTTTGTGCGATTCCTCATATCTGTTGGCACTCCGTTGGCGCACTCCGTTGCGATTTGTCGGGTGCACATGTGCTATTTTGGTGTGCGTGCATCGGGGCGGGGTCATATGTGCCAAGTGGTACACGTAGCTCGAGATTGTCGTTGTCAATTTGGCAACTTTGCTATCGAAGTGTACATGTCAATCTCGGGCGCTGCGGCACGGAAGCATTCGTTTATCCTCGTTGATGCATGCATCACTATCTTGGTTGTCATATGCATTTCCTTGCGTGTATTTGCACGTTGTGGGCGCACTCTGTTGCAATTTGTCGGTGAGCACATGTGTCACATTGGTGTGCTTGCATCAGGGCGCGGTGCTTGTTCGATGCGTTTTGTAAATTTTATGTGTGCTTATTGTTTTTATATGGGACATACTATTCATTTGGTCTCGCGCATTTTTACTGTTGTCGGAAACTACGTATGCCACCCTTATTTTCCATCTGCCGTAATTATCGACGATGGAAAAGTAGGAACCATAGATGTTTTTTACAACTTTCGTGAAATTGTTGGCGATTATTATGTAACGCCCATGTTGTTCGTATCGAGCGGGTATGTACTCTCTTGTTCTTCCATCTAATTTGATTGTGGAATGCGTACGAAATGGACAAACACGCACGCATGTGCCGATCGATATTTTGTTATTAATCTTACTGAATATCGACAAAAATAATTAGATGTGTTTTCTATCAATGTTTGTGCTCTAATGATCCTTAGAGCGGTGAGATGTTGGTTGGGAAATAATAAGGAAATAAAAAGTGTTGGTTGGGAAATAATCAAGAATTTTATATAAATCCTACTATGGGAAGAACGAATCAATTAGCTATAGGAAGAAAAACTTTGTTTAATAAAAAAAAATGGGTTTGGGAGGGCGAGAAGGTTGGTACCTAGTGAAGTTTCTTCTTTATGGGCAAATATAAAATTTCAGTTTTAATTTACTCTTAAAATTGGAAACGAGAAGAAGCCTAGAGGCGTTTAGACTGGTGCCCGAAAAAAGCATACCAATTGTGTAGGGTTGCTAGCTACACAACCCAGAGGTCAAGATGTTGGTTTGCCTCACTTGAATAACCTAGTGACTGGAATCGAATGTTAAAGCCCGTAGCCCAAATAGTTCATACGCACTGCGTATGAACTTGTGTTCGGGGCCTGCGAAGCTTTTACAAAATTCGTCAGAGCAAATGATTGTCGCAAAACACAACAGTAGGGGTGGGTAAGCAACCAATCAGAAACATTCACGTAACCGTGGCGGGAAAAAAAAAATAAAAAAAAATTGAACAAGCTTGTGATTTGGACCGTTAGATTTTCACAAGCTTCACATTTCTATTCGCAGCCGTCCGATCACAACTCTGAGGTGTGTTGGTGTGTCCGAATTGCTAAGTGCGTCCAAACCACAGTAGAGTTTTTTACCGTCAGATCCAGATCTTGTTAAATGAACGGCGGTGGAACCAAAACACAACGCAGTTCCGAAACACACCATGCACTGAACTTGAGAAAGACCCCCCCCCCCCCCAAGCAAAACAGCCCTCGTAACCTTCGCCCAAACCCGCTTCAAACGCAGTGCGTTTGAAGACCGTCGCTAACAATTTGGTCTGCGGGTTTTAAGCAGCCCAAAGTCTCCCAACGGACGAATGGACGAACGGAGCGGACCAATGGAGCTGCCAACATACTTTCCACGCACCCCTTGGGCGCGTTCAGGGCTCGGGGCAAGCCCCGCGGCAAACTTCAGAGCATCCGCTATACGGGGGAGATCGCCCGAGCCCCAACTTTGATTCATCTTATCCGTATAATTGGTGCCCCGAAGTTCTGTCTCGGGGCTTGCCCCGAGCCCAGAACGAGCCCTTAACTCACTTAAATGTAGGCCCCTTGGCACTGCTCCCTGTACCGCTTCCCTCAGTCTTTGCATCCTGCTCAAGTTGAGAGCCTGGGTTTCCAACAGTCGAATGGTTATTGAGAAGGACCTGTACAGTTTTCACCTGCGCCCCTCTCCTGGCGTCAGGTGTAACTGCAACCTACCCTCTTGTCGCGTCACGTCTCCATGCCACCTTCGCCCAGATGATGCCGATTTCGTCTCAATTATGTTTCCTGCATACCAGGCCGTATTTCCACAGAACCATTCACGAACCCCGGCTGGGTTGACATTTGCAAAAATAGAACTTCGTGACTCTGAACGACCTGTCGGCGCAATCGGAAAATTCTGAGTCCTCAGCTCCAGTCGCCGTCAGCCCCCATCGCGCAGAGCACGCCCGTCACTGTTGCTGACCACCCATGCCAATGAATCCGACGGCTGTCCTACCTCCTGCCACGCTCCAGATGGACAGGAGATTCGCCCCAATTCTGCGGTCTGCGAACAGCGAGCGAGCTTGCGAAGGGTAGCACAGCAACGTCCAACCAGACGCCAGCACCTGGTTGTTTGCCTCTCCAGGTTCCAGCACCGCCAAAGCAACTCACGCCAATTTCGTGATCTGCCTTGATTAGATGTGCCCCACCAACCGCCATAGTTGCCATTCATCTCCACCCATCGTAGCTTGTGTGTCAACTCAAACCTACACGGCCCGAACGCCAGGCATCGCCCCAAGTAGCACTTTCTCGGTAGCTCTTAAATTCGCACTTCTCGGTTGATCGCCGTTCGATCGCGGCATTCGCAACCATCGTTGGGCGGCACCGCGCCATGGCGCATGGCAAGGGGCGGGCGCCGCAAACGTGGTGGGGATGGCGGAGACCCGCCGATCGCCCGGCGCCGCTGAGCCCACTCGCTTCCGTCGTGGGCGCGGCCTTCCTCCTCCTCGTCTCGCTCGCCCCCACCCCTCACGCCGCTAGTGCGTCGCGTGGCCCCGTCGCGCTTCCCCGCGGCCGAGATTCCGACACCTGGCAGCGCGTAGCCGACAGGGACAACCGCGCAGGCAGCGACTCGCGATACGTGTGGCCGGAAAGCGCGCAAATAGGCGGATCTCGTGCGGCGAGACGAGGAGAAGCCGGTGAAGAGCCGCGCGAGGTGGATGCGAGGGAGCGCGCACACGCGTGGAGGTCGCCGCAAGAGCTGCTAGCGACCTCGCCGCACGCACGCGACCCGCGGCCAGACGCGCTACTATCGCGGATGGAACGGGGAGAGGCGTCGCGGCGGCGGCGTCTGAGCATGTCGTTCCTGCCGCGGCACCACCCCCGGCGCGCCCCCGGCACGTGCTGGAGCCGATTGGAGGCGAAGATGTACTGGACGGTGAGGGGGGCGAGGGGCAGGCGAGACGAGGCGGTGAGACGTTGTGAGATGAAGCAGTGAGATGGGGTGAGATGAGGCGGTGAGAAGGGGTGACATGGGGGGTTGAGAGTAGGGACATGTGGACGACGATGGAGGGAAGGTGCGAGGGAGTGTGGCACGTGACTCGCCTCCTTGTCGCCTGGCTCTGTGTGGCGTGGAGCACTGGCGTTTGCCATGGCGACCGGACACAATCAAGAGTGAGTGCAAATGGAGCGAGAGAGTATGTGTGAGGCTCAAACCGACTTCCTTGTCAAGACGTGCAGGTGCAGTTATGCTCCACGCGATCGCCCAGTGCATGCGCACTGGCCGCTATCAAGGCCAGGCCACACATGCCGCAACGATGCTCCCCGCGCCCTGCTCCCTCCACACGCCTCCATTCCCCATCCTGTTGCACCCCTTGTCTGTGCTCCCCCCCCTGCATGCAGGCGGTGAAGACAAAGACGGCGCCGTCGTTCGTGGAGGCGCTGGTGGCGTACCGCAAGATGCACGCGCGCTGCATCAACGGCGTGCGCGACTGGGATGCTTTCTTCCGCAACAAGTCAGCCCCTCCCCGCCCACGCCCCTCACCCCCGCCCATGCGCCCTCGACCCCGCCCATGCGCCCTCTCCCCATACCATGCCCCACCCATGCGCCCTCACCCTGACATGCGCCCTGAGCGTTTTTCTTGTGCCCTGAGCCTCAGCGCTACTCGCAATTCCCATCTGTGCAGCCAGTGATCTTGTGACAGCCTTCCACCCACCCCAAGCCCGCCCTGCATCCATCGATTACCCGCCCGCCGTTTCACCCTTGGTGCCCTATTGGTTTCTCTTCCACGGCATGCTGAATCCGCCATGCGCCACTCCCACCGCCATGTGCACATCACAGCACTGCCGCCCCCAACGCCTCACCCCTCCTCCTCCACCTCTCTTCCTCGTCTCTGCCGTCTCCCTCCTCATTCCTTTAATTTCCATCCCCACCGCCTCCCCCCCTTCCCTCTTCTCTCTTCCCAATGCGTCCCGTGCCCCCCCCGCCTCAGGGACAACGGGCAGCACCCTAACGTGGACTTGGACGGCTGTAAATACCTCTTCTGGATGGCGCCCGGCTATGCTGGTGAGGCCATGCGCACGCCCAGGGGCATGGGCTTCCAAGTCAGGTTAAAGCTTGAGTGAGAGCACTGCTCGCATGGGCATGCTCATGGTGTGCAGCGTGAAGCGGGTTGGGTACTCTGCATGTTCTGGCAGGGCAGCACTCGCATGGCGATGCAGGGTGAGGAGGTGGCGAGCAGCATCAATGCATTAGCGCACACAGGCAGCGTGCATGCATGTCGTGCATGGGCATGTGCTACATTGGCACAGGCATGGCATGATAAGGTGACCCCTGGTACAGCTTTGAGCCAGGTGTGAAGGGCAAAGGATTGGCGACTGGCGATGCATGCATGCTCCACGATCCACGGAATGCACTCACGCCTTCACAGGGCCTTTCTCACTGGGTCGCTCCACTCTCCCCTTCGCTTCTCCCCCCCTCGCCTCTCTCCTCCCCCACCCACCCCCCCCCGTGTGGCACACAGGGCTGGGTAACAACCTGATGTCGCTGGTGTCGGCCATGACTTACAGCCTGCTGACGGGCCGTGCCATCATCATCGCGCCCGGCACCGACATTGCCTCCTTCCTCTGCAACCCCTTCGACGAATCCAACTGGGCCATCCCCGCCCGCGACTACAAGTGAGGCAACTTCTGCCGCTCATACTGGGGGCGGGAGAGGAAATGGCTGTGGGAAAAAAACGAACGGGAGAAGGGGGCGTAGGAAGGGGGAAGAGCGGCAAAGGACCCGGGGAGAGATTCAAGCATTGTCTTCATGCAGTCGCAACTACCATCAATGGTTTGCCTGGTCTATGGTTGGCCAGTGCCGTGGATGGGAATCCCCTCTATCGCATGGCATGCATTCATGCTGCTCCTCTTGTGACGAATGCATGCCCCCCGTGTGCAGGCACGTGTACCTGATGTTCCAGAAGCAGCCGCGCGTGGCGGAGTTCGCTCGCATGGCTGCCAACGGTACGCAGTGGAGCAAGAAGGCCGCCTTCGCTGACCTCAGATTCTCGTATGCACACCTGGGGACATGCACACCTGGGGACATGCACACCTGGGGACATGCACACCTGGGGACATGCACACCTGGGGACATGCACGCAAGGGGACATGCATGCAAGGGGGCATGTACAGCAGGAGACATATTGATGTGTGCGGTGCCACCAGCTGCTCCGACCTCGCCTATGTGTGTGTGGTGCTTGAGCGCCACCGTGTATCGTATGCAATTCCTTGTTCCGTGTGCCACCCCCTCCCCCCAGGTACGGCGAGGAAGACTGGAAGTTCTTCTGTGCGGGCGTGCAGGCGGCCATAGCGGAGGCGCGCTTCGTGGCGTTCTACACGGACGAGTACACCGTGCCCGGCTTCTACATGCTGCCCACCCTGCAGGTCACGCCCACCCACACACTACCTCACACCCTACGGGCCATGCACACATGCGCTCAGACGTGTGGTCATTGGGCTCCAGCCAAAGCAACCTTGCATCCATGCGCCCCTCCCTTCCTTCCGCCTTCCGCCTCTTTCGCAACTTGCCGATGGCATGCCTGCTCTCGTCTGTCCCTCCTTTGCCTGCAGCTTTCAAGTCTTGCCTTTTGACCCTCCCTCCCGTGCCCACACACCTACGCTCCTCTCTCTCCCTCTCTCCACCCCAACCTCCTCTCCTAACCCCTCTCCTTTCCTCTCTCCCCCCGCTGCCCCCTCGCTCACCATGGGCGTCTCCCTCCTCCCCTGTGTGCGCTCCTCTGTCTTGGCACCCCTCGCCATCCCTCTGTTCGCGCCCGTGCAGGCCACCCTGGAGGAGTGGTTCCCTGACGGCCGGGTGTTTCTGCACGTGGCGCGTGCAGTGCTGCACCCGGCCAACTACATGTGGCAGCGCATCACACGCGCCTTCCATGCACATCTCAAGCACCACAACCGCCGTGTCGGCATGCAGGTAAGCACCCACACGGGAGTTGCCAAGGACGGCTCGCTAAGGGACCTCTGCTCTGCAGCTCGCCCTACCTCAACAATGACTCGCCCTACCTCAACAATGACTCGCCCTACCTCAACAATGACTCGCCCTACCTCAACAATGACTCGCCCTACCTCAACAATGACTCGCCCTCCCTCTGCTTGCATTCATTCCTTTCCTCACTCTCACTCCCACACATATGAACGATTTATTCTTCTGAGGCCTTCCTTTTGCTCCTTGTGTCTCACCCTTCTTCCCCACTCCTTTTTTTTCCCGCTTCGCCCCGCCTTCTGCCAGGTGCGCACGTTCTATCGGCGGGACACGGACACGAACCCGCGCATCCTGGAGTGCGCGGTGAACGTGTCGGGATACCTGCCACGCCTCTTCTCCAACACACAGTGGGACGCTCTCTCCGCCAATGTGAGTCTCGCTGCCAATGTGAGGCGATGAGGAGGTGTGTGACTGGCTAAGAATGCTGGAGAATGGGCAACCTGTGTGCTCCTACTTCCTGTCACTCAGCCTCTGCCTGCCTTCCGCCCCACCGTCCCTGAGCCGCTCACCTTTTTTTCTCCCCGTCCTCACCTGTACCATCAATCCGAGGCGGTGATGCCCCCGCCTGAACCACCTGCTTGTCTCTCATCGTTTCCCCCCTCCCTCCCGTCCCACTCCCATCCCGTTCCTGTCCAATCCCCCCTGCCAGCCCGACAGTCGCATGCAGGCCATTCTGCGCAACCCGTTTCCTCGGTCTGTGGCGGTGCTGCTGACGTCGCTGTCCCAGCACCACATGGACTACCTGCACGAGGCCTTCGCCACGCATGAGACCGTCGACGGCACCGTCGTCGCGCTGCACAGGTGCCAACACACGCACAGTGCCACGGGTGCTGCTGGGGGGAAAGGGGATGGGTGGGGGGGGGGTTGTTGGTGGTTGGGCACGGGCTGTGTGTGAAATCACTGCCCCAATGCCTTGCAATGTCCACTTCTTATCAGCACGTGTGCACAGCAAACTATGACTCGAGCTCTTGGAAGGGGGGCCGGAGTGGGTAATGGCGCATGAATGGGTGAATATTTTAGGTTGGGTTAATGGAGTACTATAACGCCAAGCATCAGGTGTTACATGGCTTGACGGCTTTTTGTTTCGCTGGAGTGCCTATTGTACGTACCACAAGCACCTCGTACGCCCATGGTGGCTCAACCATTGTCTCCATCTCTGTGCTTCCCGCCCTTGCATCTGTCCACCATCCGTGCCCTGGCCCCTCTTGTGCTTGTGTGCATTGCTGGTTGTGCTGCAGCGAGGGCCACGAGGGGCTGGAGAGTGCAAAGCAGAGGCAGCATGAGAAGGCCTTCCTTGAAATGTGGCTGCTCAGCTTCAGGTACTGCACACACTCAGCTTCAGGTACTGCACACACTCAGCTTCAGGTACTGCACACACTCAGGTTCAGGTACTGCACACACTCAGCTTCAGGTACTGCACACACTCAGCTTCAGGTACTGCACACACTAAGCTTCAGGTACTGCACACACTCAGCTTCAGGTACTGCACACACTAAGCTTCAGGTACTGCACACACTCAGCTTCAGGTACTGCACACACTCAGCTTCAGGTACTGCACACACTCAGCTTCAGGTACTGCACACACTCAGCTTCAGGTACTGCACACACTCAGCTTCAGGTACTGCACACACTCAGCTTCAGGTACTGCACACACTCAGCTTCAGGTACTGCACACACTCAGCTTCAGGTACTGCACACACTCAGCTTCAGGTACTGCACACACTCAGCTTCAGGTACTGCACACACTCAGCTTCAGGTACTGCACACACTCAGCTTCAGGTACTGCACACACTCAGCTTCAGGTACTGCACACACTCAGCTTCAGGTACTGCACACACTCAGCTTCAGGTACTGCACACACTCAGCTTCAGGTACTGCACACACTCAGCTTCAGGTACTGCACACACTCAGCTTCAGGTACTGCACACACTCAGCTTCAGGTACTGCACACACTCAGCTTCAGGTACTGCACACACTCAGCTTCAGGTACTGCACACACTCAGCTTCAGGTACTGCACACACTCAGCTTCAGGTACTGCACACACTCAGCTTCAGGTACTGCACACACTCAGCTTCAGGTACTGCACACACTCAGCTTCAGGTACTGCACACACTCAGCTTCCCTCAGTTTTCATCCGAACTCCTCGTCGCCACTCCCTTTCGTCCCCTGTTTCCCCCATCAAACACTCCATCATGCTCCACACCTATCTCACACATACCTAAAGTCTCTTCCATCCATCCTACCTACCCCCCACACGTATCTTTCCCTCTCCTTCCCCCCCCTCCCCCCCTCCCCCCCTCCTTTAGCGACGAGCTGCTGGTGTCGGACATGTCGTCGTTCGGATACATAGCGTCAGGGCTGTCGGGGATCAACCCCTACTCGCTCAATATTGGCTTCCGCACCGCTGAGAACCTCAACTGGTACACCAATCGCCGCCCCGTGTGCGCGCGCTCTTCCTCCGAGCCCTGCTTCCTCTCGCCGCCCGAGTTCCTCAAGGTGAGACGCCAGGGGGGAAGGGCAGAGGCTAGGTGCTTGCTAGGGGCCGATGGGAAGGTGAGGGCTGTGCTGGCGTTGCCTTGTGGGCTGGGGTGCCGAATCATTGATGGCTGGGAGAAACGGTGTGACAGGGGCCCACTCAAGTGCTTGTCGAATGAAAAGATGGGCCGCTGCTGCTTCAGCTGGTGGCGTGAACTCCAGCGGCCGTGCATTGTGTACTCTGACCAATAATACGTCTCTTTTCTCTACTCTTTTGCTCCCACGTCGTTGGTTTCAGTGTGATGATTCTGATGTGAAGAAGGAGCTTTTTGAACAAACCTCCAAGATTAGAAAATGCTTGAATATTAACAGAGGAATTGAAGTGGATATTCCACTCTTTTGAACTTAAGTGGATATTCCACGCTTTGAGAGGGTGTATAAATTTGCCTACAAAGTCGTCCAACGACACCATGTTTGTAAGTTGATGTTGCATAGCCACCTAGTCATCAATGATTTGCCGTTAACATGGGTAGTAAGCAGGGCTGATTTTATCAGACTATTTTAGTCTGATAATGTGAAATTTCAGACCAATTTTTTTACCGATTCTGATTTTGCAGACTTGCAAGTTTTGACAATTTATACATATGTTGTATGTAGAAGTTATAGGCTAGCCTAGGTGTGTGCTTCTAGTGAGTACAACTCCAACAGGTATATGTCCTAGGTTTCTCACACTAGTCAACCATTCTCGCATTCTAACATGGTATCACGAGTAGGTTAGTGTCAAACATGTTTAGTTATCATGCTTGTATAGACTGTATAGGGTCATCTTCTAGAGAGTACAACAGTTAGGTATATGTTTGTGTACTCTCTCTCTCTATTTATAAATTTCACTGTTTGATATGGTATCACGCGTAGGTAGGATCCCCCCCCCCCCCCCCCCCCCCTCACGCTTCCGCTCGCCCCCTAGCTGGGCCCCGTCGTGCTCCTAGCCCCGTCGCGACCCTCCCTAGCCCCGTCGCGACCCTCCCTAGCCCCGTCGCGCCCCTTCCTGGGCCCCGTTGCGCCCCTTTCTGGGCCCCGTCGCGCTCCTCCCAGGCCTCGTAGCGCCCCTCCTGGGCCCCACTGCGCTCCTCCCAGGCCCCGTCGCGCCCCTTCCAGGGCTTAGTAGCGCCCCTCCAGGCCCCGTCGCGCCCCTTTCAGGGCTTCGTAGCGCCCCTCCAGGCCCCGTCGCGCCCCTTTCAGGGCTTCGTAGCGCCCCTCCAGGCCCCGTCGCGCCCCTTCCAGGGCCTGGTAGCGCTCCTCCAGGGCCCCGTCGCGCTCCTCCCAGGCCCCGTAGCGCCCCTCCTGGGCCCCATTGCGCTCCTTCCAGGCCCCGTCGCGCCCCTCCCTAGCCCAGTCGCGCTCCTCCCAGGCCCCGTAGCGCCCCTCCTGGGCCCCATTGCGCTCCCCCCAGGCCCCGTCGCGCCCCTACCTGGGCTTGGTAACGCCCCTCCAGGCCCCGTCGCGCCCCTACCCATCCCCGTCGCCCCTGCTCGGCCCCGTCGCCCCTGCTCGGCCCCGTCGCGGCCTATCGGCCGCGTGGCGCCCGCCCGGCCCCTGACGCACCTGCCCGGCCCCTGCTCGCCCGCCCGGCCCCGTCGCCCCTGCCCGGCCCTGCTGTGGCCTGCCCGGGCCCCGTCCCTGCCGCCCGGCCCCGTCGCCGCCGCCCGGCCCCGTCGCAGCCGCCCGGCCCCGTCGCAGCCGCCCGGCCCCGTCGCAGCCGCCCGGCCACGTCGCAGCCGCCCGGCCTTGTCGCTGCCGCCCGGCCCCGTCGCCGCCGCCCGGCCCCGTCGCCGCCGCCCGGCCTTGTCGTGCCTGCCCGGCCCCGACGCACCTGCCCCGGCCCTCCATACTTCCTGGTACTGTCCCCCGTTCCCCGCACCACTTTGCACCCTCCTGCACTTTCCTGCCCCGCCTTGCATCGCATTGCACCTCACTGGATCGCACTGACCGCACTGGACCGCACTGCACCGCACTGCATCGCACTGCACCGCACTGGACCGCACTGCACCGCACTGGACCGCACTGCATCGCACTGCACCGCACTGGACCGCACTACACCGCACTGCATCGCACTGCATCGCACTGCACCGCACTGGACCGCACTGCACCGCACTGCATCGCACTGCACCGCACTGCACTGTCCTCCACTGCCCCTCATGGCTGCTGAGCTTCGCTTTGATGTTGAGGGTCAGCCTCTGGAGTTCGAGGCGTGGTTGGCTGACCTTCGCCGCCACCTCACTGGCCAGCGGCAGGACGGCCACCCGCTTTCTGCACACCTAGACGGTATGCTCCCCTGCCCTGACCCCCCTGCTGTGCTGCCCGCTGATCCCACGCCCGCTGAGCGCGAGTCCACTGCCGCTGCTGCCCTTGCCCGCTCTGTCTGGCTTTCCCGCGATGCCCTTGCTCAGCTCGCCATTAGCAATGCCCTCCCCCCCACTGAGCGCCCTCGCTTTAGAACCATTCCTACCGCCCAGGCCTACCTCGATGCTGTCATCAAGCGCTATTCTACCCCTCCTGCTGCCTCAGTGGGTCGCCTGATCCTTCCCCTGCTCTTTCCTGACCTGGCGTCTTTCCCCACTGTCTCTGACCTCGCTGCCCACCTGCGCTCGATAGATGAGGCCTGGCGCGCTGCCTGCACTGATGCTCAGCTTAGAGTCCACCAGCCTCCCATGACCTCTACCCTCTACCTCCTTGCCACCCGCCTACCTGACCGCCTTGCCGCCGCCCGCGACCAGTTCCTTAGCATCCACCCTGCTGCTCTCACCCTCACCGACTTTGTTGACACCCTGACTGCCATAGAGACTCGTCACCGCTCCATAGCCCTGGCGAGCGGTACAGTACCGGTCCCTATCTTTCAGGGTTGTGCCCCCGCTCAGTGTACCTTCTCCGACGGCTCTGTCGCTGTGGCTGAGACTGCTGCTGCAGTGCAGTCCCGCTCGGCGAAGGGCCGCCGCCCCAAGGTTGGGAGCGGCGGAGGCGGCGGGGGTGCGGGTGGGGGTAGTGGTGGAGGCGGGTCGTCCGGTGCCGGTGCGGACGTGGGGACCCTGCCCGGTCCAGCTGCCCCGCTGCCTCCACAGTTGCAGCAGCCGCAGCAGCAGCAGTCGCCGCAGCCGCAGCCTTCGCAGCAGCCGCAGCAGCCGCCGCAGACGAGGCAGGCGAGTACTCTCCCACCTGGGTGGCCTGGAGCTGGTGGTGGTCGTGCGCGTGGTGGTGCACCGGGTGGTGGTTCTGGAGGCGGGCCCTGTCAGTACCAGATCCAGACCGGTCCTCGCCGCGGCTTCGTTTGCGGTAAGATCGGTCATTCTACTCCTCGCTGTTTTCGTCGCCTGGACGACCTGTTCCGCCAGCGCTTTGGCCCGGCGCCCGACCTCCCGGACTGGCACAGCTTGCTTAGGCGTAGCATTAGGATTTTTGACTTGGACATGGATGCCATTGTAGCGGCCTTGCATGTGATGTATGCTGATGACTCTAGTGTGCTTCCCTCTTATTACCCCGTATTGCCTAGTGTAGCGGTGCCTAGCGTAGACTCCCCTGCTGCGTCAGGCGTAGGATCTCCTGCTTTGCTTAGCCTTGGTGCTTCCACCGCTTCACTGCTGCCTCGCGCGACTGCTGCGCTTTCCTTCACCTTGGACTCTGGCGCCTCCCGGTGTTTCTTCCGCGACTCCACGACGCTGACGCCGCTGCCTGTTCCCGCTGCAGTTACTCTTGCTGACCCCTCCGGTGGTCCCGTCGTTGCCCGCAGTTCCACCTCCCTTCCCTGTCCGGCGGTTCCTTCGGGCACTCTCACAGGTCTGCATATCCCCTCGTTCTCCAGGAACCTAGTTGGTGTCGGCTGCCTCCAGGACCTTGGCGTCACCACTACGTTCCCTGGTCACGAGCGGTATGCTGTCTGTACCGAGGCCGCCTCTGGTGCCCCCCTTACCACTTTCCCCCGGGACCCGGTGTCCGGCCTGTTCACACTTGACACCGCGCCGTCCCCGGCTGGGTCTTCCCCCCCGGTAGCTGCGTCCACCCAGGTTGCAGCCGCGTGCTCCTGTCGGTCCCTCACTCACCCGACTCTCCTTTGGCACCACCGCCTTGGTCACCCTGCACTCCCACGTCTGCGTCACATGTCCCAGCACGGTCTCGTCCTTGGTCTCCCCGGTTCGTTCCCCGAGTTTCCCTCCTCCCCCGCCCCACCGTGCACGCCTTGTGTCGAGGGCCGGCTCCGCCGTGCCCCTCACTCCTCCTCTTTTCCCCCTACCACCGCACCACTGTAGACTCTGCACATGGACGTCTGGGGCCCAGCCCCGGTCCATGGGCCGCGTCGCGAGCGCTTCTTCCTAGTGCTTGTCGACGACTTCACGCGCTACACCACCGTCTTCCCCCTGGAGCGGAAGGCCGACGTGCCTGACGTTCTCATCCCCTGGCTTGTCTCTGCTCGTGTCCACCGCGGTCTCCCTGCCTTGCGCCTTCACTCCGACCAGGGTGGCGAGTTTGCCTCAGGTGTCCTTGGTTGCTTCTGTCGTGCGGAGGGCATCACCCAGACGTTTACCCTGCCGGACTCCCCGCAGCAGAATGGGGTCGCTGAGCGACGCATCGGTTTGGTCATGGAGGTGGCTCGCACCTCCATGATCCACGCCGGTGCACCCCATTTTCTGTGGCCGTTCGCCGTGCGCTACGCCGCTCACCAGCTTAACCTGTGGCCGCACCCCCCAGCGGCCGCAGGTTTCGCCGACCCTTCTGTGGACCGGGTCCCCTGGTGACGCGTCTGCGTTCCGCGTCTGGGGCTGCCTTGCTCACGTTCGTGCCTCTGGCACGGACAAGCTCACTGCCCGCACCCTCCCCTGCGTCTTCCTCGGTTTCCCCCTTGACGCGTCCGACTGGCACTTCTACCACCCGCCGTCTCACCGCTTCTTTCACTCTCGCGACGTCACCTTTGACGAGTCCGTCTCCTTCTACCGCCGCTTTCCCCACCGTGGTCCCCCGGTTACTCCCCCCCTTTTCCTGGTTCCTCCCTCCCTGGTGGTCCCTGCCCCTCCCCCCCCCCCGCCCCCCCGTCCGGCCCCCTCTGGTGTGTCTCACGTCACCCCCCTCCCGTCGGTCGTCCCGGTCGACGAGTCTTCTGACTCTGGTAGTCCTCCGGCGCAGTCCTCGCCGTCTGTCCCTCCCCCGGTGTCTCCTCCTCCACCGCCTCCGCAGCCGCCGTCGCCGCAGCTGCTGCAGCCGTCGTCTCCACCGCCGCCGCCGTTGCAGCCGTCGTCTCCGCCGCCGCCGCCGTCGCAGCCGTCGCTGCAGCCGCCGCCGCCGCCGCCGCTGTCGTCGCTGCCGCCGTTTGTGGACTCTGGGGGTGTCCCTTCTGGGGGTGCCGGTGTGGAGGGTTCGGGAGGTAGCCGTCGCGCAGCTTGTGGCCCTGGTGTTGGTGTTGTGTCGCCGCAGCAGCAGTCCCCGCCTGTGTCCGCCCTCCGTCTGCTCGGCCTTCCGTCTCCTGACCCTGCGCCTGTTCCTCTCCTGCCGTCTCCCTCTCTTCCCGTCTACGGCCCCGTGTTCCCTCTGCCAGACTCGTCCCCGGCTCGTCTTCC